GCCTTGGGGGCCATGGGGCCATGGGGGCCGAGGGCTGTGGGGGTCAGGGGCCATGGGGGCCGTGGAGGCCGTGGGGCCGTGGGAGCCGTGGGCGCTGGGCCGGTGGCAGGGCTCTTCAGCTCATCCTGGACCCAGCGTCTTCTCTGAACCAGAGGGATGATGCACAATCTGCCTCTAGCTCTCCCTGTGGAGCATGTAGTAGGTGCCTAATGAATGCTGAGAGATGGATGGCCAAGCCCTCAGGACCTCGGCTGGCGAGTGCTGGCCAGTGCTGGCCAGGTGGGCGTCCCGTGCCGAGGGGAGGGATTGCTTCTGTTTGCTTCTCTGGGAGCCATGGACACAGGCTTGACCCCTCAGCCACGGTCAAGAGTGAAGACTTGGAATGTGCTTCTCTGGAAGACCAGCCCCAGTGTCCCAGCGTCTGGGGCTCCCGCCGGCCGTGCAGATGTTGGGGAAGAAGGAACACACATGCGTGTCCTGAAAATCCCTGGGTTAGAGGTCCCAGTCCACTACAGCCCAGGCCCGAGAGAATGCCCAGCCCCGGGGGCCATGGCCGACCCCAGCCAGACTCTGCTGAGCCCTGAGACCACCTGAGACCACGTGAGTGCCCAGCAGAGGGCAGGGGCTCCAGCCTGGGCCACGGGGGATGGGCCAGTGTCAAGACACTGCCCACTGCCCACTGAGGAGGTGCCGCAGGCCCCAGGGCTGCACTGAAGGAGGATGGACTTAAGGACGGGTGGAGAGGAGGCTTGTGGGGCCACCAAGAGGGGCCACACTCCAACCCAGACCTCCAGGCACGTGCACACGCTTGGTCACACACAGCAGCTGAGTCAACCACGAGGCCTCACGCCCAGGCGCACAGAGGGACCGTGTGCGCAGAGCAGGACACATCGGCAATGAGGAAATCAGCCCTGTGGTCAGCTGCCCAGTCGCAGCCCAGGGGCCCGCTGGAAACACCCCCCCGCCCTCTGTCTGCCATGCTGATCTGACGGCGCTGCGAGCCTGGCCCGCACAGCTCCGCTGCCCGACGCCCACTCTGCACCCTCTCAGAGCGGGCTTCCTCTCTCAGGGAGGTCAGCCTGGCCTCGCTTTCACCTGTCCTGAGAGTCCTTTCCGTGATGACGCCAAGGACCCTTATGGCCTGAGTTGAGGTCCATCCCCCTCCGGGGGCCTCCTCAGGACCCTTGCCCCTGGGACACAGCTGTTCCCCAACAGCACAGCAGAGAGCTGGGCCCTGCTGCACAGTGGCCAGGAGGTGGGCACCGGCTGCTCAGCACCACAGGACAGAGGGTACCCAGTGCGGGGAGGGCCAGCCCAGTACCTGCCCACATCTGCGGGATCCAGCTGCTGCCCTGTCCTCTGATGTCATCCTTCTCCATAGGAGACTCCCCCACCACATCACGCCTCCCCGGCCTCCCTCCTGCCCCACCAGGCTGCCCCCACCTCTGCCCTCTGCAAACCCGGGGTTGCCCCCGAGCCCGCACCCTGTGGACCTCTGTAAAGTGGGCGGCTCGTTGCCATCATCAGACCCGGGAGGCCTGCCCTGTGCCGGGCTCTGCACCCCACACACCCTTGACCCACCGTCCCCAAGGACAGAGCTGTGGGTCTTCGCTGGAGGTGCACGGTGGGTGGGGGAGGGGCCCCATCATGGGCACGTCGTGGACAGTGGTGGCTGTAGAGGACACAGGTGCACAGGACAGGTCCCGGCAGTGCAGCCCACCACGCCATGGCGGCCACCGAGCAGGAGGGCGTGGTGGGCAGCGGGGACCCCAACGTGAGCAGGCACCCCATCCCTGAGGGGCCATTGCTCCACGTCCACTCGTGCCTTTTCCTTCTCCCTCGACCTCGCCAACCTCTGACGGATTTCCCCCCAAACACGTGCCATCCTTCTCTCTGTGTGCGACAGTCATGACTCGGTCCCTTCACAGGTCACCTCTGAGCATGCGTGGGTCTGAGGCGGCCCCTGGGAGCCGATCTGTGCCCTGCCCAGTCCTACTTACTCATGATTTCAGAGAGTAACAAGGCAGAGTGCCCGCAGAGGAACAGGCTCAGGTCCCACCAGGCGCGTCAGCGTTAAGCCAAAAGGGAACTGGCCCTGTGAGCAGGCTGGTTCTGGTCTGGGGGCCCCGGATGTGCGGGCTGTGGAGGAGACACACACGGGTGAGCTCAGGAAACAGCGGTGCCGGCGCCGGAAGGCCACTGCAGATGGGGGTCAGTCCGAGTCCCTGCAGGATGTGGCTGTGGGTTTACCCTGCGCCATGGCTGCCCCCCGTTTCCCCTTTGGCTGTAGTCCTGGGCAGTGGCCAGCCGAGGCTCTGCCCCCTGTAGCGGTCATGTGCCAGCCTGCACATCCTCACGCCCACAGCCAGCCCCCGCCCCTTCTCACCAGCAACAGCAGCAGTCACCATTCCAGGGTCCCAGTGACAGGCTTGGGGGGCCCTGCAGGCCTGCAGAAGCCTCAGCCTCAACGCCCGGGGTGGTGCCCTTTCCTCTCGAGGACCTCTGTCCCAGGCTGTCCAGCTGACTGCCTCGGTCATCCTTACAGCTGCAGGCCTGGTCGATGAGCCATTGCTCACCCTGACCCTGCCTCCCGAAGCCCCACCGAGCATCCTGGTCAGAAAGGGACTGGCCACCCAAATATCTAGCAGTCGCTGCTCTGAGCCCAGCACCCCTGAGCCTGCAGGGGGGGGTGGCCTAAAACAGTGTGCGGGTGGCTGGCCAAGCATCTGTGCTGGGGCTGCTGTTTCCCCCTGAGCCGGCCACATACCTGCCCGCTCGGCTCTTCTGGGGGCATCTCCACAGTGGGCTCCTTCACCCCCAGGAAAGAATGGGGCAGATGGGGCTCTCTGAGCAGGGAGCTGTGGCTGGGGAGGTGTCATCCTCCTGTCCTTGGTCAGGCTTAGGCTTGGGAGGCAACGGTAGCCGGGCCACAGGTAGAACAGCCACCACCTGCAGCCCGGGGACAGAGGGCTCAGGCACAGAGTGCATCCAGGGACACAGAGGCATGGCTCAGACCAGGGCTTCTCACCTGCGGTGACTGAATTCCAGAGGATACTTGGCAATCTCCAGAGAACTTCACGTTGTCACTCTAGTCCGGCGGCAGTGGGGACGCTGTTCACACCTGCATGCACTTGTCCTCTGTGCCCCTCCTCCATCCCTGCTCCGTCTGCTGCCCTCCTGTCCTGGGAGGCACAGGTTTGCTCCTGGAGTTTAAGGACGGACCCCGGAGGACACAGTGCTAGTGACCACATCAAGGGTGCGCGCCCAGCTCAGCGCCACACCCGCTAGCCCTGAGGACCTGGAGGGGTCAGGCTAGTGCCTGGACCTCCTGCAGAGGCCCGGGGTCCTGGCACCAAGCCCCGGGCCTGGAAGGGCTGGGGCCTCAGGTCAGGTTTGCTGGAGACAAGGGCTTCCAGGGGCCTGAGGCCCTGGAGCTGGGTGGGTGCCTGAGAGGAGGGCCACCAAGGCTGGCGAATGGACACCGAGAAGGGCCACAACAGGGCCTCTCAGAGAGCCAGAGAGGGAGAAGGGAGGGTCCAGAGGGGCCAGGAGGGAGCAGTGGGCACGGACCAGTTGCATGACCTTGACAGACTGGCCTTGTCCTGCAAGAAGGATCCTGGTGGGTTCGGGATGGGCCCATACAGCTGGACTGAGGAAGGGAGGGATGAGGTCCACCTTGGGCAGCTGACCTGAGGCTGGAGCAGGCAGGGGACGAGGACCTCATCTTGCCGAGGTGGCAGCAGAGGACTAGGAATGAGGAAGGCAGCCGGGATCCTCAAGATGGGGTGGCTACTGGAGGCCGGGGCGTACGGGAGGCCGGGGCGTACGGGAGGCCTCCTGCACACCCGGGCTCCCCAGGATGGACAGGCTCTGGCAGGTCGTCTGGAGTTGTGTCCGACCACTCAGGAGTCAGGAGATCGGGGAAGAAGGTTCCCCATCCTGTTCCACCTGCAGGGTCAGCCACCCACTCACCTCCAGGGGAAACGGGCATGACTCAGAGCCCAGGCCTCTGCCCACAGCCCGCAGCTGGCAGCTCTCAGACCGCTAAGAATGGAGCCCTCGGCTTGCCCACTGGCTGGGAGTAGTGGTCACTTCAGGAGAGGATCCTGCTCCTCAGGACAGCAGGGCTCCGCTTGCCTGGCCCTGTCCCTTGGCCAACACCCTTCCAGGATACACCCTTGGTGCCCGTGTGGCCTGGGAAGTGGGACCTGTGCAGACAAGTCCGCGGGTGGGGCGAGGCCCGCAGGAGCCAGGCCCTGGCAGCCCACGGCAGCATCCTCACCAGGAGAAAGAGTGTCTCCAGGTGCACCCCCACCCACAGGAAGTAGAGGACAGGAAGGAGCATTCCTTGGTAATGGGCACCTCCATCAGTTCAGGGAGGTTGAGATTTCTTCCTTCCGCTCGTTTACTTATTTGCTTTGGTCGGTGCTTTGCAGATGTGCACGAGGGTGGGCGTCTACACGTGCACAGCCAGGTCTTGTCACGGTCCTCTGCATCTCCTCCCCTCCCCTGCCCTCCACCTCCCTCTGTCCCCATGATCTCCCCTCTACAGTGCCACTCTGCCCACTCTCCCCTTCCCTGGTCAGCCTTCTGCCTGGCCTTATCTCACTCAGCATGACCTTCTCCAGCTCCGTCCATCACTGGCCACAGACCTTAGGAGGAGCCCCTGTCCCCATCTGGGGCATGGTGGATGGGCCCATGTTCCTGCCTGCCATGGGAGACTTCGCCCTGGCTGCCCTCCCACCCTCCTCCACGGGCCTGCCCTGCTCTGGGGAGGAATATTCTGGTGTCTCGTCAGCCCCCGGGCCACCTCTTCTGGTGACGACGTCTGACAGGCCATGTCCATCTCTCTTGCAGGCGAGGAGTGTGGATGCTGCCGTCACTGTGTTCCCGACCCCAGACGGGGCGTGTGAGTGAACGAGTAGTGAACGAAGGAGGGATGTGGGGGACCAGCGCCCAGCCCGCCAGCTGTCTGTCCTCTTCCAGAGCCTGGTCCCCAACAGCACCATGTGTGACTGACTGCTGCCTGGCTCACCCGCCCCCGCCGCCTGCTCGGCATTCTGAGAGAGGGGTGAGCGCTGCATGATGAATGGCTGCAGAGCAAGGGGCACTGGCCAACGAGGGGCAGCCAGGTGCCACGGCAAGATAATCAGAGAAGGGAGGTGTGCCTGGTCCTGGGCCCATGTGACCAATGTGGGGGCCCCAGATGACAGTGTTGACAATAGACACCATTAACAAAGTGTTTTAACCAACCAGGCGAAGTTCTCTTTGTTAAAAGGAGCCATGTGACCCAAGCCACAAGATTTACATGTCCAGAGCTGAGGGCTGCTAGGCTCTGGCAGTTCCCCCTGGGGACTGCACAAGGCCAGAGAGCTCTTGGAGGCTGGCTGATGCGGCACAGCTTTGGGGAGCATTGGGAAAATAGTCACTCAACAGCCACTAACACAGAGACTGCCAGGCGCAGTGGTGCACGCCTGTTACCCAGTGGCCTGGGAGTTGGGCCAGCTTCAGCAACTCAGTGAGCCCCTGATCAAATTAGTGAGACCCTGTCTCCAAATTTAAAACAAATAAGGGCTGGGGACGTGGCTTAGTAGTAAAGCACGCTGGGTTCAATCCCCAGTACCAAAAAAAAAAAAATAATCCCACAGATGTGGACACCTCCTTTGCGGACCTTGCCAATAAGCCCTGGCCCTGTGGAAAGTTTGCTGTTCACGGAAAATGCCCTCAGCCGCCTTGTGCTGGGGACTCTGGACAGACAGTGTTCCATGAGGCAGGACTTACTGCAGGTGACCTGGAGAGGTCCAGGGCTCAGAGTGGGGCCTCAAGGCCAGGGTGCAGCCTGCGCTGGACCCTGCTCTCCAAAACCCAACCTCACACTGCACCCTGCTTGCAGGGTCTGCGGGTCTGCCAGCCGCTGTGGGCCCCTCCCCAGGGTCCTGTACTGCATTTGTGAGCCGCCAGCTGTTTCAGGAACACACAGCGTCACCGCGTCACTGCTTGGGCTCTGGGCAGGGCAGGACAAGGTGACACGGGGAGAGCACACCTGGTTTGTAGCAGGCACAGGTGCAGGCGCAGGCTGAGCCTGGCAGGACTCCGGCCTCGCTGGTCTCACACTCTCACCGAGCTCTGGTCTGACCGGATTCGGTTCCTGCTTTGGGTCACAAACGGGTCAGATGAACTCACTTCTGGTCAGTAAATTCCGGGGTGGGCCTACGCTCGTCGTGGGAAGTGGCCCACATGGTCATGTTGTTCTGGGTCTGCCAGGAGTGGGCACAGCGTACAATTCCAATGCCTGGGTCGCACTCGGGACCTTCAGTATTGTGCAGCCCCCAGGTCGTCCTGAAATGACCCCAGTGTGTCCTGGCAATTTCTCCTGCTCAGAGCAGGCGGCACCTGGAGCCAGGCCGAGCAGCAGGTGGACCTAGCAGGGAGAGGCCAGGTGTGGATCCCTCAGAAAGGACTGATCCCACTGTGCATGGGTGGAGCATTCGCCCTGGTGCCACACCTCTGTGCCTCCCAGCCTGCAGGACAGGAGCCGCCACCACGCCATGCAAACCAAATGCCCACGTTGGCGTGTGGCTGAAGATCTGGAGGCTCAATGGAGGAGGCTGGGGCATCCACAGGGACAGAGCCGTCAGGCTGCGTGGGGAGGAGGGGCACGGCTGCCTGCTGGGGCGTGAGCTGAACGCCCAGTCCTCCCTCCTCCACCCAGGCCAAGGGCAGGCCTGGGCACAGTTCTCGAAGGTCCTTCTTACCTGAATAGCTCTGTCTCTTGTGAGAAGGGAGATCATGGTGGGTCTGTGGACATCAGGGGGCCGTGGTCTCATCTAAACCTTAACCCACTGGGCAGTTCTGCCTGGGCCCTGGCTGGTGGCCTGCTTGCTAATGCACACGGTCTGTAGGTGACCCTACGGACAGGCTGACCCACCAACCCGCCCTGGGAAGCCGTGTCTCGCCCACACCCCAGAATGTGGCTGGACATCCTGGACAGGCCATCCCTTGGGCCTGTGTGGGCAGCCCCAGGGCATCTGTCCTCTGCAGGCCTCAGTAAGGGATGCAGAGACAGCCGGTGGCTGGGAATGTGGCCACTGCTCAGCCGTCAACCCTCCCTAGCCACCGTCACTTTGTAGCACCCCCTCTGGAACCCTCCCTGAGCTGGTCAGTGTGGCCCTGCCTGGTCTGCACAGAGGGGCCTCTTCCTCTTGGGGTCGTGGGGTCCCTGTCCCTGCGTGTGGGAACTGGGGCTTGCCTGTCTGCCCCTCTGCTGGCTTGGGGCCTTCCTCCACGGGAACCTTCTCCACGGGGTCCTGGGGTGACAGCTGCTTGGGTACGACAGTGTCGGTTCCTCTTTTAGGCTCCTAAAGCAGACAGGAAGTCAGGACGTCATTTTAACTAAGTGTCTGCTGCTCTTTCCTCTTAGAGGTGGGGTTCTGTCGTGGTTCTCCACGGGCGGCTGGCGGGTGCTTGTCAAGGACCACTCTGGTCCACACGAATGTCCACCGGGGTAAGGCCTACCGCAGAGCAGCCTCTGCCTCCCAGAGGCCCAGGACCACATTCCCCCAGCCCAGGACCCTGCCCCACAGGCAGATGGGTTGGCTCTCGTTCCTGAGTGGACAGCCCAGCTGTGCCGGGGACGAGGCCAGCGGCCTGCCTGGAGCAGACCCACGTGAAACGCCAGGCAGGTGCCATGCTCGTGGTCCTGAGCTTCAGTCCTGACTCTTCATCCTGAGAACCCAAGCCAACTCCCTACCCCGGGCGTGGCGGCCTCCCTGTGACCAAGCCCTGGCCCTGCCCCAGCCTGGCCTCCGTGACTGACAGCTCTTCAGTGTGCCTTGGGCTCCTGCTGCCCCAGGGAGGCTCAGCAGGCGGTGACTCCGTCAGGCCTGGTGTTCCAGGGCCCAGCTGCACTCCACACACCCACTCTGTCCCCTTCCCTCCTGGTCCCCGCAGAGGACACGTTCCCCTCTTCCTAAACAGGCGCCTTGATGCAGGGGAAGCCTTTCTTTTCCTTTCAAATGAGGTAGTTTCACCAGAAAGCGCACAGAGAGGCTAAGCATTCATGAAAGCAGAAGCCCAGCCTGCCGGGTCTTGATGAGCCCGCAGGTGGAGACCGCCGCGTCACTGGAAGTCTGAGGTGCTGCACCTGTGCCGATGGCCTGGCGGGACCTTGGCGGGGCAGCAGTGGGGGAGGGCACCATGGGAAAGTCCCCAGTCTCACACAGCCACACAGGAGCATCAAGTGACCCTCTCTCCCATAGCAGGTGGTCACAACAGCCAGACCTGGACCTCCAGAGCTGTGCCCAGTCCACCAGAGCCACCAGCCTGGTAGTCCTGGTTTCCCGTGGTTGCCGTAGCATCCCAGGGTCACAGACCCCACACAGCACACCCCTGCCTTGTGGCCCCTAGGAGTGCAGCTCACAGCCCCAACCACGGAAGGCCTCAGGCTCCGGGCCTCCAGGGCCCCGCAGCACACAGCCCTCCTCCCAGGGGCTCCTCCAGGGCCCCGAAGCACACAGCCCTCCTC